GTTGTTGGATGAGGGTGCGGTTGTTGGCCAGGAAAACTAGCGGCTCTCTGCCCGCCTTGGCTTTGCTCAGGTAGTGGGAATTACGGGGACCCTCTTGCATGGTCCATTCCTGGGGTTGGACGGCGCGCGCTTTTTCGCGCTTGGTGATCCTGCCGAGACCCATCCGGTGCGAGCGCAAGAGGAGGGCGTGGAGGCGGGCAGGCGCGAAGGCAGCGACCCCCAGAGAATGACGGCGGGCAGGCCACCCCGCGTCTCGATCGGGTAAAATACGCTTGGACCTCTAAATCAGGCAAGACAATGAGACCACAAAAATCTATAAGAACGATGGACTCTACCTCATGAGTGTCTGCGCTCCCTCGCTCCGCCATCTTAATACTCCTTTAAATACTCCTGCCTGCGTGTCACTCTGGTCAGTGCTCCTTCCCCCTATCTAGCTCGTCTGCTTACTTGTTTCTCCACACTTAGCACACTCGGATTCGCGTCCAACGCGTCCAGCTCAACGCCTCCATTGATGGATCCTCCCAGCCGCGAATCGGCGCGTTGACCCCCGCGCCGTGGTACTTCCTCCCCACCTCTGCCCTTTAACTCGGCTGACTTCCTCCTAAGAGTCCCTCGTTCAGCTCTCGAATGCGTGCGTATGAGTGTATTCTATCTATGATTATCGCTAACTACTCCCCCCCGCCGCCCCTCCCTCCGTTTTCCGCCCGTCGGCACTCCCGACCACGACCATGATGGTCAGGATCAAGAGGCGAAAGGTGGCTGTGCCGAAGTGTCGCCATGTTTGTTGTGACGGCTCTCGGCAACTCAACTCTAGGTTGCCGGGAGCCGTCACAACAAATATGGCCTCACCGCAGCACAGCCACCTTTTAGCACTTGATCCTGACCACCATGTCCGCGTAAGTCGCGTCCCTCATCGTACCATAGCGTAGATAGATAGTTACAAAAAAAATACATCATAATCTGCACGTCCTCCCAGACGTCTGTGAACCAAAATCCCGCGCGCGCGGCGCCCTCGTAGTACAATACATAAATAGAATACATATCACCCGCCCTCGCTGTGCTCGCTGTGATCCACGACATGCAGAAGGCTGACGCGTTACTCCGTAGTGCACGCAATCCATACCTTGACGACCGCGCCGACGTCCAGCGCTCCCCGGACGAGGACGACCAGTACGAGGACGACGAAGACTCGTCCGAGGCGCAGATCCGACGCGCCGACGAAGAGGAGTTCGATATGCACGGGATACTGGCGGACCACGACGCCAGAGTCCTCTCCGCCGCCCCCTATCGCATCCCCGAGCGCTTCCTTCAATCGGGCGCGGAAACCCCGTCGCGGGGCGAAGAGTTGGACTTCGACATGGCGCCGTCTCGTGCGACCAGCGTTATGCCCGCCTGGCATCCACCTCCCCACGCAGGTTCGCGGGCGCCCACTCCCGCATACGACCCCGCCGATCATCCTTCGCCGGAGTCGACGCCAGCGAAGGCCAGGAGCGCCCGCACCCCCCTCTTCTTGCCGGACCCGGATTCGCGCGCACCCACTCCGTTCGTGCCGCGCGACTCTCGGGATTTTACGCCGTACGTCTCCCCCCGCGAAGCCCGCGAGCCCATTGCGAGCACAAGTGTAAGACCCGTTTCCCATTTATTATTATTATCGTTCTAACAATTGACATAGTCGTCAGCGCATGCCCGACCTTCCTCAATCTCTCCTCCGCCCGCAGCCAAGCGACTCCGAACGGCCACCCCTCCGCGCGACGAAGCCCGTGCAGAGCGCATATTCCGGAAGATATCAAAGTTTCTGGACACGGTCGCCTCTGACTCCGACGAAGATCCGGAAGAAGCTGAGGATGAGGATGAGGAAATAAGAGATTCTGACCTCGGTACGTATGCCCGCATTGGATTGGACACCTCGTATCTCTGAAGACTGTTGCTCAGAATTTATCGACGATATGCCTCCGCAAATCCACGACCTCCCTCCATTTCACGATGCCGCCGACGATGACGACGAGGAAGCGGATGCTGAGCGCTTGCAAGAAATTGCGGCCCACTTCGAGAGCCAGGCCCCCGACTATTCAGCCTCTGCTGCCCGGGAAGCGGGTATCTCGCGTTTTTCGCACTCAGCTCCGCCGGAGGACGATGCGGCGCTCGCCGCCGTTGTGAGCGCCATATTGCCCTGCTTCTTCGGCGACTGTACGACGCCCGGGTACTGAGAGCCGAGACTCAGAGTCAGATGGAACGTCGCCTCAAGTCGTTGCTCCCCGCCGAGAACGAGAAGACTGTCGTTCCCGGCTCATGGATTCGGTTCCAGGGTCATCTGGTGTTTGTACTCGGGCCGAAAAAACTACTCATGGCGAAACCCCGCGACATACCACCACCCCCCGCCCCCGCCCCAAACAAGAGACAGCAGACGGCGAAATCTGCAAAGAAGAAGCAGGATGCAGCGCCAGATGTTTGCTGGACAAACAAGCTAGGCAGGGAATTGTACCAAAAGGATTATCCTCAAGTCAGTCCGAGTATCGATGAACTCGCTCCATTCCGGACAAGTCGCTGCGACGCCCTCCAGCGCCGGCCGTTTTCCGGCCCCAGCCAAGCTCTCGAGGCCGGGGATCGTGTCCTGATTGTGGGAGGGGAGCGTCGCGGACAGACGGCATATGTGCGGCAGATGCAGGAATTACGCGGCCCAAGAGGCGGGTCCCGACGTGTGTGCGAGCTCAGCCCCCACTTTCCCGCAAGCGAAGATGCTTTCGTATGTCCAGTCGCCGGTATGGTGCGACACATCCTCAGCCCGTCGCCCCCTCTCCACATCTTCGACCGTGTGCGCGTCAATTCTGGCGCTTTGTATCGTGGGGCCATCGGGCGGCTCGTGTCTATCGATGGCCCGCAGGTCACCGTTGCACTTCCAGCGGAGACAAATTTCGACGAGGCGTTGCCGTAGGCACTTCCTCCTCGGGGACGTCGTATTGATCGTTGGTGGCGAGAATAAAAATCGGCATGGCCTCGTTGTGCACACCCACTCCGATGGCAGTCTTGAGGTGTTTCAGGTATCTTTTGCTTTCTTAACTACATTCGTAAACACGTCGAGAACTAACTGGTGTTTATTGCAGACCGGATATGGGCTCGAGGTTGTGGAGGACGTGGATGTGGGCCCCGCCAGCACTTTGAACGGCCCTGGTCGTTCTATCGTCAAGAGGCACAAAACGGGGCAATTTGACCTGCACGATGTCCGTGGATTTTTTTCTTCTCTAAAATCGTGCTAAACTAACGTGAGCTTGCAGTATCAAGACTGATTCGGAGTTCCGCGCTGTGCCCGTGAGTTTCGGAAGCCCCAGACATCGAAAAATACTGACGTGTTATAGATCCGCGTCATGAGGGCCGACGTCGATTTCCTCATGTTCGACGAGGATCAGCTGGCCCCCAATCGCGCTACTCAAGCGTATACGAAGACGTCTGTGGTCGAACCTCCTCGGGTTCGCCCCGCGCTGCCTTATCTTCAGAAAGACCAGGTGAAGCAGGCGAGGGAATATCAAAGGGCAGCAGACACAGACGATCGGCTGGCATACGACGCCAAGAAAGCCGCCAATGAAGCGGTCCAGAACAAGATGCTCCAGCTGGAGCCGCCCGCTTCTTTCGCAGAGCTGCATCAGAAGGTTTTCGAGCGAGACCGAGACAAGGCTGCCGCATTCAGCTCTTGGGAGAAGAAGCCCGAAACGGACTACACGGGCATATATGTGCAGGTCGCCTACCAGGGCAACAACAAAGGGTTCCGCGGGCAGGTAATATCAACTTACCATACGCCGGCGCGGTACGAACGCCTGAAATCCCAGAAGAGGCGCCGATTTATGGAGGGGGATACCCGGGGAATCATGGTGACCATTAGAAACGATTCCAATAGACAGGTGTCTGAGCCCATCGAGAAGGTGGTCCACGACATGTGCGTGCAATTTTATTCCGTTATCTCTCTCGCTAACATGACCGCAGGACTCGCTTGCCTCTCGCGCAAGCTCGATATCTCCCCCCCAGGGTCCTGTACGCTCCGCGCCTGATGACCCCGTCCTCCCCCGAACCGCGCGCTGTCACGCCGCCTTGGATTCCCGCCGACGCCTCCGCAGAGGAAGAAGAAAGACTCGCCCTCGAGGAGGCAGCACGCCAACGAGCCCTCCAGTTTGAAGAGCACCGCCTTCCTGGCGAACTGGATGGGAGGTGGCTTCTAATGCCGGGTCTGGTGGGGAAGCGCGCGGATGTAGTCATCCAAGGCCTTCACGGTTTCAAGGGGACGCGGGATATCCCCAGGCTTTCCAATACGCTGGTCGCCTGTGAGGGCTCCAGAGGGACTCTGCTGCTGACGGAAGGTCAGACAGAGAGTAGTCTCAGGAAGTCAGTCACTGTGTACCATGTTGGCCCAAAGCGGCGGCCGCTCGGGTTTCCCGCGAGCTGCATCAAACCTGCGAGGGCAGACACGGACGGAGTGGACATCTTGACGCGCATCCAGCGAGTCGTCGTTCTCGGCCCCGATGTGACAGAGGACACGTCGCTAGTGGGCGAGTACGCGCAGACGCAGCCGCTCATCCCCCATCAATTTGGCCCCGACGTCGTCGCAGTCATACGCGTGAATGGGTCCGGCCCTGTCTTTTTCCACTCTCTGCACCTGTGCCTGGCGAAAAACGAGAAGGCCGGCGAGGTTTTACCAACGACGTTCCCACATTAACGCTATATAATATTTTTTTACATGTAATTGACACGTCTTCAATGTATAATATCTGAGCGCATGGTTCTTATGTACACCCAGAATCATTCAGCCGCGACGCGTCGGGCACGTGGGCGTATCAGATGCCGAACTTCTGCCGAGACTCATCACATCAAGTAGGGCGCCTGTTTGTCCCGGCGCCTATTCTGCTCTTGCTTCCAACCACAACGTCCTGTATGTAGAAATAATACCAGTTTTTTTATTTAGTCTGCTGATTTCTTGTTCACCATATATAATTTAGTGGGGCAGAGATAAGAACGCTCTGGTAGCTCAGTTGGAAGAGCGGTGCCGAATGATATGTGAATCTGACAGTTGTGTTTAAGGCACGGCACATGTTCGAATCATGCCCAGAGTGCACAATTTTTTCTTCCTGTATTTTTCTCAGCCTACGCATTGTGTTTTCACCATATATATTGTATTACATAGGGTGCAGATAAATAGGTGCTATTCTACGGCTCCAGCGGAATATTTTCTTCATTCAGTTTATTCAGATATTTCAGACGCGAGGCGCGACGCGACGCGACGCGACACCTCACGTGATCCGGCCTTTTAGACGAATGCCGAGACCCGTCACATCAAGTGGTGCGACTGTTTGTCCTGGGCGCCTATTTGCCTCTTGCTTCTGACCACCACCATCCTAATGTAGAAATGTAGCGTAGTATACAATAATTCATCTCTTCATCTATCTCGTCGTTTCTCATGTAATTTATGTATCTTGTGTATCGTACCTACCTCCAGTATGGTCGGAATTGAAATTAAAAGGAATCAAAGCGCGACGAGGCGCCTGCTCCGAAAGAAGTAATCGGTGGCTGCGATGGGTGGCCGCGAGCATTGCAGGACAATGCAGCCACTGTTCTCCCGGTACCGCTTCTCGTTGATCTTTCCCTCCATCTGACTGACCCATCCAGTTTCCTACAACACCACCTCGCCACTCCATTTTTTACGCACAAACACCAGATTTCCCTATGGAACGACGCGCCACGCGTAGCCAGAAAGTCCCTACCGTTCCTGGCATCTCCCTTGGTCCCCCGAGGAAATCAGGGAAAAGACGCAAGCCGCAGGTCGAAGAGTTGCCGGTCGAGAAAGCAGAAGAACAAGCACAAGACGTATGCATTTCTTCTCGCACCTGGGCCATGAGACTGACCGCCTTGCAGCAGGAAGACGTCGAGGACCTGGGCGTTGGGGATGTGCCGGCTCCCAAGGGTCGACCGCTGTCCACAGCGCAGGCGCAATCACGCACGAAGCAGGTACGCCTCCTTCGCGCCTTTATCATTATTTTATGCTAAATCCCTTACCACAGAAGACTCTCCGGGCCGACGATGGATCTCTCCCTGGCGCGCCGCCTGAAATGGAGGTCCCCCCTCTCCAAACCGCGAACAACGTACGTCTTCATCATGCTTAATTAACGACCTACTGATCAATTATCTTTGGATAGAATGCGCTGCCGCCCCCACCCGAATTCAATGCACTCCGGACGTCCTTACTCCCATCTGGAACGGAGGCGTCCTTGCGCGACCAGTTGATGCGTAGGGCGCCGAAACAGCCCTCCTCCCCGGAGCCCCTGCCACCGACAGCGCCCGCTCCCCACCACTCGGCTCTACCGCGGGCATCGCCGGCTCCGCTCGCAAAACTCAGTATCCCCAAGCCCGTCATCCCCAGACTCGACTTGGCAAGATTAGCCCAGGAGCGCCCATCCCAAGCTGTAGGGGCTCCTGTCGTCAAGCTCGGTTATTACGAAAGGACGGCAGCGCTCAAGAAAGAAATTGCCGAGCGACGAGAGCGACGAGCTGCCGCTGCCGCTGAATCGCCTCAACCTCGAGGTCGTTCGCTTGGCCGCTCCTCTCACTCCCCCTCTCGCTCTCGCTCCTCTTCCCGTGGCCGATCCTTCCACCTCCCCTCTCGCTCACGCTCTTCTTCCCGTGGCCGATCCTTCCACCCCCAGCCCCCGTCTCGATCTCCTTCCTATACACCGCTTCGATTCCCTTCCTCCCCATCAGTGTCACCTTCGCGAGGCCGTGGGCCTAGCCGGAGCTCACTGCCTCCCTCCTCCCGCCCCTCGTCAGCCACGCATCGGGGAGCATCTCCAGTCGTACCACATCGCCCGACTCGCCGTAATCCCCCCCCCCCACGCGTCGGCTGTGTCAGTACTGGTGCGCGAGGAGAGACTGGAGTCAGACGGGGATGCCACCGAGGACGACTATGAGGAAGCAGCGAACAAGAAAGCGCGGGAACTCATCAATGAACGCGAGCGGTTTTCGGGCAGTAAACATCTGCGGCTGCAAGAGGAAGAAGACGCGGAGGAGGATGCCGAGTTCGAGGCGGAGGCGATGGAAGACCCAGAAGTCGGTGGCAGGAGGAGAGGAAATAGCAAGGGCAACAGCAAGGCCAAGGAGGACGCCCCTCCGGCCGAGCAGGGGAGAAAGGGCAAGGCCAAGGAGCACGGGCGCCCCGAGTCAGAGAAGGAGAAGAGCAAAAGCAAGCCAACTGCCGGCGCGTCCTCTGCCCAAACCCGCATCAAGAAGAAGCAGAAGCCTGTTGCAGCCGCCGACGCCGACGCCGACGACACAGATGAAGACGAAGCCGGCGGCCGCCACAAGGCTGGGCCGATCGACAAAGAATCCCAAGCCCTTCTCTTCGGCTGGCAAGAAGACCTAGAGGCCAAGGTGGAAGCCTTGGCGACCAAGCTCAAGAAACCCAGCTCGCTCCTCTGGAGCTTGATCGACGGCAGTCACAAAGACGTCAGGAGCACCAGCGCCTGGAACATGTTTCAGTCCTGGTTGTACACACCCGCACCAGAGGGAGGAGGGCAAGTCCACGACAAAGCAGGTGCGTTTGAAAGTAGTTTATTTGAAAGTAATTCAGGCTTAACTCGTTTTAGTTACGAAAGAAGAGCGGGGCAGGCTCGACCGCGCCGAATACGACAAGCTGCTAGAAGATCTCACCCCGGAGGACCGGAAGAAGACGTCGGTGGTGCTCGAACACGTCCCCTGGCTCGCTGAGTGGCACGAACACCTGGAAGAGAGAGTGCGACAGGGGCGCCTGGCGGATGGGGGGATGACTCGGGAGATGGCGAAGCTTGGGAGGGTGTGTGCAAGCCTCGTGAGTCGTTCCAGGATGTGTTTTTTGAAGTGGACCTAGTGTGCTGACAACAATACGCAGAGCAGCCGCGCTTGGAAGGAGCTGAACGTCCACCTGGTCGGCTACATCATCTCGACGGCGGGGGGGAGCAAGTCCTTCGGGGCGAGTGAAGCGTACCAGCTTTTCAGGAAGCGCCATCAGGGTCAGACGACGCGGACGCTCAAGGAGTACGAGTCGAACTTACAGTACGTTTAATCCCCGTATTCCTGAGCGCGGTGAACCTGACCTTTATGTGCAGTGTATTGGAAATGGAAATCGCCGGTGCCACCGCGGCCGCGGTGCTGAAAACGAAGCAACAGCGGGAGATGGTGTTTCCGAGTGCCTCAGGGCTCACGGGCAACGCGCTTCGCGATGCCGAGCGCAAATTTATCAGGGACGCCATGGCGGCAGACATCGGTGAGTCCCCTCCTATATCGCTGGCGACGAATATTTCTGACTCGGCATTAGTCACCATTCAAGTAGAGCGCGGTTTACTCACGCCGGAGGAGGCCGCGTCAAGCACGCAGCTTATGCACTGGGGGACCTGGGGCAACTTCGCATTTACGAACCAGTTGCGGATCGAAAACTGGGACGATGAGATGGCGGCTCGTAAGCACTTCCCAAAGTCCGGGTTTGCGGTCACTGCGTTCGCGGAGAAGGACCTGGACCGCGTCAAACATGCCCTCGAGGTCCGGCACGGTCGCCCACCCGCGGACGACGAGGACGCGGAGATTGCGGAGAAGGCGCTACGCATCGTGTCGTGGACCGACGGTATGGGATACTCTGTTCACATGTTCTCTGCGCTGACAACGCTTTCAGACGAGATTGAGATGTCGCTGACTGAACAGGGAGACATTCCCCTCATCACTACAACTTCGGGCATAATCCTACGGTATGCGGACGAATGCACCAAATACCAGACGCAGGTTTCGGGGCCGAAACAGAAGCAGAAGAAGCAGAACGCCCCAAAGACGCAGATCGCCGCGGTCCAGAAGCGGAAACACAAGCGCTCTCCTTCGCGCGGCCGCGATCGCTCAGACTCTCGCGGACACGACGCACGGCGCCGTTCGGGTTCCCCACCGAGACGCCGACACCGTTCGCGTTCCCCCTCGGCACGCCGCCGTCGTCGCGACTCCCCTTCCCGGCACCGTTCGCGTTCCCCATCAGCACGCCGCCGTCGTCGCGACTCCCCTTCACGCTCCCGCTCCCGCGGTACAGGGACAGGGACGGCACCCAGCCGAAAGCGAGCACGCTCCCCTTCTCCTGTACGCGGCGGGGGTCATGGGCAGGGGACCCGGGATCGTTCGCACTCGCGGACGAAGGGGCATAGAGCGGTGGCCCGCTCCTCCAAGCCCGACCAGCGCTCGAACGAGCCCGATCCTCCGCGTCCAGCAAAGAAGGCGCGGCCTGAGGCGGGGCCGTCGATGTCCAAGGCGGAGAGGCAGGCCTTGACGAAGAAGGCCAATAGCTATCTCGCTGAGGATGCCGCGGAGAAGGCGGCGTCGTTGGTGAAGTTCAAGCTAGTCAAGGCGGGGGAGCAGTCCCCAGTAATTCTCGGTCAACTAAAGAAGACCTCGAAGGGCATGCAAGGGCGAGCGGAACGGCATACCCGGTTCCAAGACAAGAACACCGATGAGTGGGTCAAACTTTGGGATGGTTTTGCAGCTGTGTTCGAGGACGAGCACCAGGTGATTTACGACAAGTACGTCAAACGCTGGGAGTTGTATTAACGTAGTTCTTTTCTTTCTCTGTCAGCCTCGCTCCTTCTTTGTAACTTGTAATATTTAGTTTTCTTTACGAGCGTTATGAATTGATATGTGGAATATGTATGAAGTGTAGTGATAGTGATAGTAAAATTTCGGGTGGCAAACGACTTGCGGAATGACGGCCAGGGAATATACAAGGTACGTGAATCCATTGTTCTGCGATTAGGTGGTGGCGTTGACGTTAATGGCAATAGACTGGACGGAATTCCCGATCAAGCAAGATGATGGGCAAGAATATCGACGGAATTCCCAATTAAGCAAGACTGGGGGCCATTGTGATGAGGAAAAATATGGTGGCCTGACCGGATGAGGATATAGGTGCGTGCTATTGTTGGTTCAAGGTGGCAGAGTCTATTTAACAGTCGCGGATCCTTGCAGGACGGCCACCACCCTCCATTCCCACTGAACTCAATGTCGCACAACCGCCGCAGCTTGCCTTTGAGACCTACGACGCGCTCCACGCGCCCGGTTG